CAGAGCGTCCTGAGGCAGCAGATTACTGATCCTCTCCAGAGGGGACAGCGGTCTCCTTCTCCTGGACAAAAGCACTTGTCTGGATGTCAGTTTGGTGCTGAGTGGTGAAGAGTCTGAGTTGTCTCTCTCATTCTCATTACTTTTGACAGGATCAGTTGAACATGCTCTTATCGCCCTTCTACTTTTGGTGGGTTTTAAAAATATATCTGTGTGTCTGAGATGTCTTTGACTGTGTGTGCAAATTCTCACCAGTCTGTGCATAAATAAAAGTCCAGGAAAAGGCATCTGCAATGTCATTACTTTAAATTAAAACCTAATATATCAACTAAATGTTACGGTGATGTCCAGAGATCCTTAATGTCAATGATCTGGAATCAAATGATAACCTAGAAAACAACAGCTACAATTATTAAAACAATATCTATCTACCAACTCAAACAGAGTATAACAGTAAACCTAGCTTAAATTAGTCTTAAACCATTTACAGTGTAATAAGTATTAATACATTAGTCTTCATTTCCCCTAAGTCCGACTGTAGAGTGAAAAAGAAGGTCGCCATGCCAGAAAAATGGGGGAAGCACATGTGAACAACGTCATAACTTAGCGACAGGTGTAGTAATTTAAGCGTACCGGCAGAGGGCGACATCGCAACTCTACAGTTGGGATATACAGTATATCTCATTTCAAGCTTTGAACAAATGTAAGGTACTAGTTCATTTGTTATGTGGCTACAGATTTTTGACTGAGGATGTTATTGTATAATAATCTTTTTTTTAAGTGCCAAGTTATGTAAATATTAAATACATTTAAAGATCTCTGTAGTTTTGTAGAGCTTCCTTGGAAACTATGGGTTTTTTTTTATTGAACAATTGTATTTAAACAAATGTGGCAAACATTAGTATTCCATAACATTAATATAGAACAGGTGCAATAACAAAGAACAGAAGAAGAGAGGAAGGAGAGAAGAATAAAAATAAATAAATACATAAATAAAATAAGGTTAGAATAAAAAGGTAGTAAAAATAATAAATAAAATAAAATTAAAAGTGAAAAATCATGTTAAAAATTAGATATCTAATCGGTCTCTAAATAGATACATTTAATATGAAATTATTTCATTTCATATGAATTTGATTGATATTTGAATGATTGAATTTGATTCATTGATTGATTTCATATGAAATGAAATAGGATTTTCATATGAAATCCTATTTACTATCGTCTATTTAGAGACTGTTTTCATCATGACTCCAGTGATACTACAAGTTCTATAGCCAATTTTTAATGCCTAGTTACTTTTCACCGACCCTGTATATTAAAATAACCTCACTCAGTTCACATTATATTGCTTTGCTCAGTCCCGTACCTAAGAAGTGTTCTGTATTCTATATCCCATGATCTTTTTTTCAAGACCTCCGTTAAACTAAAGTTCATTCTACCGCTTTGAACTGTATATTCAAATAACTCCCTCTCCCGCCTGAACCTGGGACAACTCATAATAACATGTTCCACAGTTTCCTGTACCCTACACAACTCACATTCCCCTGTATTATGCTTCTTCACCAACTTCAATGTCTATGGGGAACCTCGGGTGTTAAGAGGAATATAGAAGGCAACATGACGAATTCGTTGTTAAGTTGAAGCAGCCAATGGGAAGGGGTGCTTATGACGCGCTATTACGCATGTCCACTGAGGGTAACACGTGGTTTGCATACGCAGACGTAAGCAGTGCTTTAGAAATGGCTGCTGACGGTCGCAGGTTTTCGCTGCAGCTACCTTGCGTTTTTTCACCCAAATCACAGCAGTACTTAGCACTGTGTGGTCAGGATGGCAGACTTCGCATTTGGAACACAGATAGCAAAACACTTCACCAAGAATGTGTGCCTTCAGCCCACCTGAGTGCCACTTGTACTTGCATAGCATGGGGACCATGCCGGACAGTCAAGGTACGTGAATTCCATGATGTTAGCAACATGAGCTAGCGAGGCCTGAACAAGCTAACTGTGATAGAGTTTCTAATAAAAGGGCGCATGTTGAAACAAGAAAAGTGTCACAGTTCACCTGGAAATTGCTCCGATAGCTCGGAACTCTCGGCTATTTGTTATTCTATACGCTTCCATGTATCTGACACAGACTGTGTTAGCAGGGTAGCCACGTTAACCGTTAGCTAGCGTTTAGCAGCTGCATAGACGCACGTTAGTCCCACATGGTAACGTTAATACACGAAAACGTTGACAATGTCTTAACCTAGTATTCAAAGGCGAGGGAACTGCAGTGAGTGCTTAAATCAATTATATTAACTCGCACGGTTATTCTTCCTCGTCTTTAGACCGCTATTACTGCACCTAAACCCATTATTTAAGGTAGTTTTAGCCTACGTTACCATACTAAACCTTCAGAAGCGTGTGGCACCATGACACTTCTGGAAAGAGAAACTTAAGAGGTTTTACCACAGTGTACCTAGTGGCAACTTGTAAACGCTTTCAACATGCGTCATGTTGTGACTTAATTTATTAAATAAACTAAAATCTAATCTTAAATACCAATTTCTTTCTTATATGGAATGTTTGATTAGTTCTTGATATTTTAATGTGTAACATTACTAACGTACTTACCAGTAGGTTGTATATCAAGCACATTTTATAGTAATGTGCTAAAAGTCGAAGACTTTGCGTTTATCAGTGTGCTTGTGTAAACTTTCAAACCAATCGGTTGAGATTTCAATTCAAAGTAGCCTAAAGGCCTCAGGGTATCAGGCAAGCCTTAGCTACTACTCATAATACTTTGGTGGGATAGGATAGGGAAATATTACAACTGTTTTGTGTTTCAGGAGGGGCCCCAGAGGAAGAAGAGGAAATCAGAGGCAGGGCAGATGGAGGAGAAAGCAGACCTGCTGGCGATGGGCACAGCAGCGGGCACTGTTCTAATCTACAGTACAGCAAAGGGAGCACTGCACTGTACCCTGGTGAGTCTGAGACCTGTTACACTGTACATTTATTTTGATTTATCTATATATAGTCTAGATTTTTTTGTCTATATGCTACAGAAGCAGAATAAAATGCTCATTTTAGCCAACAATATAATGTTTTTAGTTGGTTCATAGTTCACATTTTCTTGGAATGTGGAAAACCTGTGACTTAAAAATAAACTTGTGTAGCTTAAAAAAAGTTTTTTGCCAAAGTGAGAAGCCTTAAGCATTTGCACCATCTGCAACTATTTCATAAAGTTGTTAATTGAATAGGATTACTATACACCTAAGTGTATGTAGCTTAACAATGTTTTTGTTAGGGATACACAGATGTCACTTTTTTCCAGACAAAGTACGAGTACTTACATTTGAGTAATTTCCCACACTTGGTACGCTAGTTACTTATTAATAGTAATTGTTATTCTGCAATAATATGCCACTTTTTTGTGATCTCGTTTGCTTTCTGATTGTGAACAAATAAAATATACAGTGGGGGGAGGCAACTGCTGACATCCAAAAATTAACATTTCACTTTCTGCATGAACAAACGTGGTACCGCCACCACTCCAGTTAGATATGTAAAATGAAGCCGATTGAATTTAAGTTTAAAAAAAAAGCAATGTTGAGTTTTTTTGTATATTCATTAAAAATCTAATACAGCTTGTTTCAGTGAGAATAAACATTGCTGTTCTGAGTGTTCCAAGTCATCTTAAGCTTATTTTATTTAACTGTTCTTTCACACTCCTTTGCCTCACCTCCTTTACACCCTGTTTACACACTGAGATTTTTCATTCCTGAACAGTTGTCTTTAACAGACTTGCTTGCACACATTTTGTTACAGACAGACACACTTCTTAAAGTACCACTAACCTGCTCAACCTGCGTGAGGTTAATGTACTGTTGCTGTTAAGTGGTGTCGATGCATAGTATCAGTCAACTTTTATGAGTAGTGGACAGCTGTATTGGTGCATCCCTAGTTTTGTTGCAACTGTCATAGACATTCATCATTAAGACTGTAGTTATTGGTCTCCAAAATAAGCCCTTTATAATACAAGCAATCAAAAGTCAAAATGACTTAAGTTCTGTCAGCACCACTGACACAGGGTTACTACAGCTAATAGAGTTCCTGGGGGTGCCCTGGAACTCTTACAGTGATAGAGTGCTGCTTCTATGGACCTAAATTCTTAAGTGTTGAATAATGGGGCCATTTGCTCACTACTGCTAACTCTGAAATTTTCTGTGTCTACCAGGATGGAGGCCATAGTGGAAGAGTGAATTGTGTCCAGTGGCACCCTGAAGACAGTTTATTATACAGCGGCTCAGATGATACAAATATTATAGAGTGGGACCTCCAGACAGGCAAGACACGAAGGTCAGTATTGACGTTGTCATTCAGGATGTACTATCTACAAAATGAGCATGTAGAAGAATAAAGGAGTGTCTCCTGATTAGATTTGGGTATGAGATTGGTCCAAAAGAGACCAAACAAAACACATTTGCTAGATTTATGTATAAATCTGAATGAGGTGCTGTTTAATAATGGAATGTTTCATCCAGCAAAGGCTGCTAACTGTAGTATAAAGCCAGATGAAATGGTGAGGAAATAATTGTCTTTCAGTTTATCACATTTTAAACCACTTAAATAATCAAAGTGTAGTCTGCATCAGAATGAAGACATGTTCTGTGATTTTCTTGTAGAACATTTTTCCCAGAAACACCATCTTTTTGTTGAACATTTCATTGCCAATTTCTCTACTCTGTTGGTCCTGTTCAGCTACAAAAACATGCAGTCCAAGCATGGCCGCACAGCAGAGTTAGATGTCTTTACAATCACAAATTATCTTTGACAAGTAATGGCACTGGCTTGCAGAGAGCACGTTAACCAGCCAACAGCATATGTTCCTTCTGGCCATTATAGAATTGCTGTCAGTTAGTGACAGCTGACGTGACCTTCTGCTGGGTACGTTTGTCATTATGTCAGATGAAAGTGACAGTCAGGGCCAGCTAAACACAAGAAGCCTGGAACCTAATCACTTTTCTTTATTTCTCTCTGATAATCTGAAACTAGCTGCATCCTGATGCAGTTAGGTTACTTGGGTGCCGGCAGTAACTTTATTCTCTCTCTACACTCTATTTTTGAGGGTTTGAGCTGCTATTGCTTGCTTGTAAAACTCCTCTCATTACACTCTATTTTTGAGGGTTAGAGCTGCTATTGCTTGCTTGTAAAACTCAGAACTTCTATTTCTTTGCTTGACACTGCAGCACACTGCTGCAGATAATTACAATATAGCAAACATGATGCAATTGATTTATCAGAACTGACTCAAACTGATTGTAATGCATCTGTGAATGTTCTGCTCATGTGTAGACTTTGTTGCTCTAAGCTAATGTTTTCATACGAGTATAATAAAGTTTTCTTAAATTAGTGGAAACACATTTTATTTCAGGTAGAGCGAGCTCCCCAGTAGTACAGTGCTGTGGGAAACCCAAACTTTTTCCACCAAACACGGATGTGTGGAAAAAGGAATGTTTATCCAGCGCTGTCATCCGAGAATGTCTTAGAACAGGATTTGGGAGACCTCTGTTAATCCCAAATGTGAACCACACACAAAACTTGCAGTGTTTTGAGCAACTTTAATAAGAAGGCCAAGGTGTCTTGGCACAAATCCTTCATTGATGTCTGTTAATAGCACACAACAAAAAGTCCTAAAAATAATACACATTTTAATGAGGCTTGCTTTTCCTTGTTTTCTGACTTACCTACAATGGTGTATTGTCACTGAAGACGTGGCCAAAAAAATCAGGTGTACGTATGTTCTAGTATTTCTATGCAGAAGCAGCTTAGTTTATACATCTTGCAAACTCTCACTTGTGAGACTTCTTTTTTTTAACAAAATAAAGTATTACATGACAGTTTAAGGATTTCCTTGAATGGGCATAAAATCCAGGCCATTGCATGTTAACATGAGCTTGCCTTACACCCATGGGTGCCCCCACCATATTGGTAAAATATTGTACTGCTTTGTTTATGTGTATTTTCAATAAATCATATTTATAAAAAAAAAAAAAAAACATCCACCATTGCCATTGTAAAAGCTGAATTTTTCAACTCCACCCGGTTTCATAGCTATATTTTACCTCCTGCTGCACTGTGACCAGAGGATATGAAGAAAAACACAGGGCGTGAGGTTACTGCATGTCCGGGAATGTTCCTGTACAGGGACTCGCTTTACCTGACCAGGTCTAACCTACAAGCAGCCGCTAGTGAAGCTCTCGCAGTGGTTAATGATCAAGCTGATCAACACTGGATTCCCCTGTAGCACAGTACCTATTTTGATTGCTTGAGGCCAGTGTGTCTGCCACATGTGGTGTTGCTAGTTTAAAAAAAGAAAAAACCAATCACATACAGGCTCACATACCTGAATCAGGTTTATTGGCAAGGTGTGTTGGACACATGAGGAATTTGACTGTGGTACAGTGCAGTGGCTCTCAATGTGTATGTACAGTGTTCTTCCACAAGGCAGTGAGTAGATATAGATAGATAGATATATATATATATATATATATATATACACACACACACACACACACACACACATATTCAGTAAAAATATACAGTCAAGCACGAAATTATTCATACCCCTGGCAAATTCTGACTTAAAGTTACTTTTATTGAACCAGCAAGTATTTTATGACAGGAAATGACACAGATGTCTCCCAAAAGATAATAATATGATGTAAGATGAAACTAACCACACAGCCATGTCAACCTTAAATTTATGAGGCTTTTAGATAAGGGCGCTCGTAGTCCAAACCCAGTTCCCACGGGCTGTTTGATGAAACTGTCTATTTGAGAAGCCAAGCCCTGAGGTCAGATGCAAGGCAACCACATTCAACCACCTTTGGAGGTGTATCCCATTTTGACTTTGGGACTTCCAGCCTGTACTTGGCACAGATGTTTCTGTACACTATGCCAGCCACTTG